GTCAACATCATTTGTTTATTGAAGGTTTGTTTACGTCGGACCGAGGTTAAACTCACCCTTTCTCTCCTTTGTTGATGAACTTCTGGACTTCTTTCACTCCTCGGCGGATGTTCTTCACTTTGGCAGCTGGACACAAAGAACCAGAGTCCATTTAAAAAACACTCATTTTAAGATCAACATGTTGATTGATCCTGTATCAGCAGCAGCTTTCAGTGTGAGCAGGAAACTCTCAACAACAACAACAACAACAACAACAGACATTTCTATGATACAACGTGGCCGAATTGATCACAAGAGTTTATCGATTCATATGAGATCTCATTCATTGACGATATATATATTTATATATCTGCTGACACACGATCCGTTAAATTCAGACTTTTTCAAACGCAGTTCTTGAACTAACAGCCACTACAGAGTGAACACAACCAGCAGCAAAGTGAATTCAACCACACACGGTATTTAATATCGATCTGCAGCTGATCTGATCACAATAATCGATCCGCTCTCTCGTTAACTGACTTCGTTAAATGGCTGATAATGTGAATGGACTTTGGTGCGGGTTTTACCCTTTTTCACGCATTTGTAGAGTTTCTTGCTGAGCTTCTTGGAGGCCAGCGGCTGAGAGATCGGGTTCACGTTGGAGACCAGGTCCTGGTACGACCTCTCGGGGCCCCCCTCGGGCCCCCCCTCGGTGGCTTCCTCCACGTCCGCAGAAACCTTCTCCTTCTTCGTCTTCGTCATTTCTGATCGAATTGAATTACTGATCGATACTCGCTGAATTCTGATTGATTCCTGATCGATCAGCTCACCGCGCGCTCAGAGCAACACACGTGTTTGACTTCCTTCTTCTTCGTGTGTTTCCGGTGCAGGAAGCGCAGCGGCAGCGGCCCGGAAGGCAACTGCAGACACACCTTCAAAATAAAAGGCAGCATACTGTTTCTGTACGGAAGCCCTGAACGGCCAAACATTCAAACACTGAACTGAATCTCTTGAGAAAAGAAAAACAAACTTAAAATGAAACCAGATATTTATTTACTCAGAGAGTTTGATGTTTTCAGTCCTCCATATAAAGTTTGGTTTGATTTAGAGCTTTAAATGTTAATGTTGTTATTATTATTATTATTATTATTATTATTATTATTATTATTATAATATCATTATTGTTATTATCATTATTATTATTATTATCATTATTGTTGTTGTTATCATTATTGTTATTGTTATTATTATTATTATCATTATTATTGTTGTTATTATTATCATTATTATTATTATTATTATCATTATTATTATTATTATTATCGTTATTGTTGTTGTTATTATTATCATTATTATTATTATCATTATTATTATCATTATCATTATTATTATTATTATTATTATTATTATTATTATTGT